AATGCTTTACACCATGCCTCCTATCAGTTGGTCTGATATTTCTTACTACCATAACCAGGTTCGTAGGTTTAGGCAACACTTCTTTGATGATGTGTGTTGTTAACTAATCATTATTCTGTGAGTACTGATGGTCGCGTTTTCTGACTACAGATTCTTCCCTTGATTCAGAAGTACAAAGTTGTTCACCTCAACAGAACTGATGCTCGTCTAGCTAATAATGGTCAACCGATGGAATTGCAAAAACTGCGTTGTCGAGTAAATTTTGATGCCTTGAAATTCACCCCTCAATTAGAAGAGCTGGGTAAAAAGGTCATTCAACTTCTCAGGCAAAAGGGTCCTTTCATGGTGCTCCACCTGAGATACGAAATGGATATGTTAGCTTTCTCTGGCTGTAGTCAGGGATGTAACAAGGATGAGATTGACGAGTTGACAAGAATGAGGTAAACTTATTTCCTTGTATAGAGTGACTGTCTTCTTTACTAGTCTCTCAGTGTTGGGCTAATTTAATCGTTTTGTAGATATGCTTATCCATGGTGGAAGGAGAAAATCATAAATTCAGATTTGAAAAGGAGAGATGGTCTCTGTCCTTTGACACCCGAAGAAACTGCTCTGACTTTAAGGGCATTGGACATTGATTCCAGCATACAAGTTTACATTGCTGCTGGCGAGATATATGGTGGACGAAGGCGAATGGCTAGTCTTGCAGCAGCTTACCCCAATCTGGTAATCAGAAAGTTCAAACTAGTTTTTCAGCTGTTTATGTTGCCTGAATTTGTTGACTAACATGTCGTACTATTTTATGTCGAGCAGGTGAGGAAGGAGACACTACTAGAACCTTCCGACCTTATGTTCTTTCAGAATCACTCTTCTCAAATGGCTGCATTGGACTATCTTGTTTCATTGGAGAGTGACATTTTTGTTCCTACGTATGATGGAAACATGGCCAAAGTTGTTGAAGGACATCGCAGGTACCTGTTTCCATTTGATGAAATTGTCTCTGTGCTAATGCTCAAGTGATATCCTTTTGCGTTGTGTTACCACGTACCTCGCCCACTTTTGATTAATGCCCAACTTTAGCTACATATAGTATTTTCTTATTGTTTTGCTGGACTTTTCAGTACGAGTTTAGCTTCAGATTTGATTGTGGCTTTATGTCATTATTTTTAAAGTATTACCATTCTCTATGCAGATATCTTGGCTACAAGAAAACCATCTTGTTGGACAGAAAGCTTTTGGTGGATTTGATAGACCAACATACTGCTGGATCATTGACATGGGATGAGTTCTCTAATGCAGTTAAGCATGCTCATGCTGAACGTATGGGCAACCCAACCAAGAGGTTGGTTATTCCAGACCGACCCAAAGAAGAGGATTATTTCTATTCAAACCCATGGGAGTGTTTAGAATCATCTAATGAGGATGAAACACTTAGTAGCAGCATTTAAATCCATCTCAGAAAGAAAAAAACACTTCCACTTGCAGTTCCACGCAGTTTCTGTGAATGATTTATAGAAAGAAGATAGCTCTCAACACACTGAGTCAATAGAAAGCAGGATTTTGCCTCAATTGCAGCTCTTGAAGTTCAGTAGGAGGGTGCACTTCGACAGGGCTGACAGACATGCTGGAGAGAGTACATTTTATTTTATAAAGTTTTTACATTAAATTAATAATCAATTTCCTGTATAGAAGCTTCCCCTGCCATTGCAGGGTTACACCAAACTCTACGGCAGTGTACACACACGGGTGAAATATAGAAATTTGTTTTACTGCAATTTTGTTATCTGCAAATTTTATTATTGACCCCTCATCATCATCATAGTTACTTGCTTTAGCAGTTTAATATAATAGAAAATACACAAAATTCATTTTTTCATTATTTGAGTGCTCAAGACATGACCTATGCGGTTGGTAAGATGTGACTGTAATGGCCAATGGGGGAAGAGAGGCCAATTATTTTCTAGTCAAATCGTTGTTATTTTTCATATAAAATTTTGGCTTACTCATCTGTTCATTCTTGAAATATAATATTTATAAACATAAAAAGTGATTTGCTTTCTGCACATTCTCCTGATGTAAGAATATTTGATAACATTCCTAACAATTTATTTTTAATTATTATTAAAAAGCTATGTACCATCTACCAGAACTCACTGTAGAAGCCTCTACCAGCATAGAGCTGTACAGTTATAAATCAGTATAATCTCATAACTATATGCTAATATTCTTACATTTTTATCTAAAATTATTGTACCTTAGTTTTGCGAAGCTGAAATATGATAAAACGTTTATAAACTCATTTAACAATTGCAATCCACTTGTAAAGAACAACTAGCTGTAAAGGTGCTTACGTGTCTTTACTTTTCTGTTTTGCTGTACATTAAATGGACTTTTATAAACACAATTTCTTTGTAAAAATTATTGCACATATTGATTTAGTCGGCAATTATAAGCTGACATGGACAGTAGGTTTACGATACTCTTTTCGTCTTATATTTCATTTTTCGAAAATTTATTTTATCAACTCTTTTGAAATTAACTCAAGATATTATAAAACAATATTAACTGACATTAATATAAATTAACTTTCGTAAAATAAAATATTCGTAAATTTTTCTAGATGGATTACATGGCAATGGAAGAGAAGGTCTGCATCACTATTATAATCAATAATATATGTGAAGGTCGGCTAATACCTGAATTTTATAGAAATTAACTAAAAATTTGTAATATTATTTTAATATATATCTTTTTCATTATAATAAGTGGAGAGTAGACTACTAAAAGAGTTATATAAAAGTCCAAAAAGAATAAGCCACTTTGAGCACTTAAATAAATCTCCAATAATATAATAATGTTTTGGTACTAATCATTCCTCTATTCACTAGTGCTTTAATGCGTCCGTTCTAGTTCTATTTGGAAGGATCATATAATTATTCAACTACCTTTCAATTATTCTTAGCATTAATATTCGTTTTTTCAGTGGCCTTATTCAACCAAAGTTTAAAAATGTTCAATTGAACAACCCAAATTTACTGGCCTCTTAATCTTATCCTTTATTTTTCAAACCACTTACTTTGATTTCCACTGGTAAAAGAGAAAAAAAAAAAGGTCTAATTAATTGCTTTGAATTTTTTGGAGTTGGGAATAGTGGCATATGAGAAATTCAAGATAGGCAATTCCAAGAAACTATAACATGTATTCACTCTAGTGTTGTATAGGTTATATTGGAGTATTAATAGTATTTGATAGAGTAATTATTTTATCTAAACTTTGAATGATCCAAGAAAAGGCCAATTCTCGATGGAAGAAATATTGGATCGTCGATTCAAATTATTCAAGTGCATCCCTTCTCTATTTATGACTTTATCTATATACGCAAACGTTTTTCTCTGTTTTATTTTACTTGATTCATATTAATTTTAATATATTTTTTTTTGTAAAAAAATTATTATTAAATTAAAAAAAGATATAAGTATAATTTTATCAATTATATTTTTAGTTAATAATGAATAATTTTGTATTACATGCAAAAAGAATTGTAACGACCGTTGCTTTCGTTATACATCACAGCTGGCTAAAAGGTGTATATACTTGAGATAAGTCGCATTCTGCACCTTGCTTTTTGTTCTTCTCGTGGAATATATAAATATATATATATTATTTATATATATATAAGCTTAAATCTGAAGAAAATATGTGGTATTATTTGACTAATTTTTAGCCTAAAACAAGTCTTAGATATTTAGGGTAACTATAAATTACGTTATTAAGGATAAATCAAAAAATCTACAAATTGAATGTACGATCTACATTGAATTGTGATTTCTTGAGTTTTAAGGAATTGTAGTTACCAACTCCATATACATTCTCATCTTACTTAATATTTAATATTAAGGTGAGCAAGATTAATTATGAATAGTGATGTTTGGTGAGAGTAAAGCTTCGCTTAACTTGCAAAAAAAAAGATGGACTGCGGCCCTATTAGAATTTTTAATTTCTATTAATTAATAAAATGTTGATATTAGTAGTAGTATGCTCTATTTCAAGATGAAGTAAAATACTCATTATTAACATCCCCAAAAGAAATGTTCATCAGTAGAGTTCAACATAGGGATAGAAATAAGAAATCGTCACGGATGACTCGTTTGTTGGCGAAATAAAGATACAATCCATCCAAAAACCCTTTTTGGCACTCCAAATCTATACTATCGACTATTTGATTAGATGAATTGAAGGTGACAAATTGGCAATATTGTTCCTTCACATAAAAATTGTTCAAAGACAAATAAATAAAAAATGCAAACAGTAACAAGGGTTGTGGCTATTTTTTAAATTATAGAGATTGAGTATACTATTTGTGAAATTTGCCTGGACTAATAAGCAATGATGATTGGAAGCCCATTTAAAATTTTGTTTAGTAGGCCGCTTAGTCTATTTTGTTCGATGGGCCCAAAGTATAGTAGAGCTCTCAAGGTAAAAGCCCAATATTTGTTCGATAGGCAGCTCAAGGAAATGAGAAAAGAGGAATTTTCAGAAACACCAATTAATAGAAACATAGTTAGGCTCTTAAGCTATAGTTTCGTTCATTACGATTCGTACTACACGTTAAGAAGAAGGAGAGAAGAGAGGGGAAGAGAATTTGAATTTTATGTGTTAGGTCATTTGCACCTTTGTTCCTATTTTTTGCAGGTCTTTAATTTATGTCCTTCACGTACTAAAAATTTATAGTTTCGCATCATAATATCCTCTAAATAATGCACGGACATAACTTTAGTTTCTAAATAATCTATTCTGGCGTGTACCCATAAAATAAAAGTTTACTTAGGAAGGATTCTTTATTATTACTACTAAATAACAGACTCTATTCAAATTTCTTATTTACTTATAAGAGTGTACAAGTTTGATCGAGGATTTCTTTTCTTATAGCAATTCATCATGTCTTTAACAAAATAGATTAGAACAATGTCCTTGAGCCTTAAACATGAAAATGCATAGAAGCCTTAACTTGACAATGCAGCTGTCTCATCATCATCATTGAAAGCCTTAGTAATAAATTAATACAGTAGTTTACTACCAAGTAATAAAATATCACACTCTAGTCAGGTAAATTTGTGCAGCCCAACAATTTGAAGGGGCAGAAAAATAGTAGTAGTACTAGTTCATTACATATACAGTGGCTTGTGATCTCTCATTTGGGAGATTTTCTGTATCAGGTGTGGACATCGATATTGGTTGAGAAGGGGAAGGGAAAGAGGAAAACAATTAAATTTAACCAATGGAAAAAAAAGAAGAAAGAACACTAGTGTTTCAAATTAGCATTAGCTTGTTTTCCGCCTTTTGAAGGCGTGATCAGGCTCCTCCCTTGTGGTTGTAACTCTAGATTTTGGAATTGGTTGATTGCTTGTTGAAACGTTGTCACCCTGTTGGAATTTTGTGATAGTTAATTAGTTTAAGGCTCCAACTCATGTGTTAACTTTGAGAATGATAACTTATCATTTAGAACTGTAAAAAGTTTCTGGAAGTAAGAAGGGCTATGTACCTTAACAGTGGAAGCTGATGAATTTACTCTCCCATTTGCTCTCTTTCCAAGATCAATTTGCACAGAGATATTGGCTTGGGTCAAATCTACTCCAGAACTATGCAGCGCTTGTGTCAAGGTGTTCAATAGCCTGGCAAGTACCAAAATAGACGCAAATTAAGCCACTGGTATATTCAGCAGAAGAAAGCATACAGAATGTCTACTTAGGAAGAGGAAAATTTGATCAGAGTACAAAACTATGTATAACATAGAGATGGAACAAACAACTGAATTTTCTATATACACTATCTCAACAGTCAACAGACAACGTCATGACGACTAAAGATGGATGTTCATTTACTCTGTAAAACTCAAAAACATATATTGTACAATTTGCTCAAAAGTCTAAAGTGAAGTACATGACCCCTTTCTCTATCACCAGGCTTATGAATGACTAATTTGTTGCAACCACATCTATAGCTATATGCATGTGGAAGTAGTACATGAGCGTTGCTTTTTAAAAGATAAATTTCAGAATCTTTTAAGCACTAATAGAATTCTTACCCTTGAGAATAGGCACTAGAGATGCTGATGGTACCACTTTCTATAGGCAGCTCCAGCCTTTCTGGATTAGCATTTGGAATAGCATAATCAGTCATATGCGATCTGCTAAGTGAAAATTGAGAATGAGACTTTGACTCCAACTTATCAGTATCAGCTATCAGCTTTGATGAATAAAGCGCTGCCGTGCTACTAGTCCCAGAAAATGAAAACGTGTTTGGGTGCATAGGAACTGTTGTCGGCTTATTTGTTAAACCAGGCTGCTGACCTTTATCTTTTAAACCTGTGCTGCTTATGTTTGGTTCCAGTTTTTGCACATTGATAGGATTAGCAGAAGAAATCCCCATTATGCTCTCATCAAACTTTCCAGCATACGTCAGTGAAGCACTGGATGCATTGATAATGCGTTGAGGAAGATTGCTAACGCCATGAGTCGTCCTATGGCACTTGCTCTGTTACAGAATGAAGGTCAGTTAATAAGTGTGATAATGAATGTACTAAAAGTATAGGTATCTAGATTAAAGCTAATACACAGATCAAAAGGAAATATATTGTCGGCTTTTAAGTGTTAAGTTTGAACGTTATTGCACTATAAACAGCATCCAGTTCAGAGCCAAAGACTGTTCATATCGTGATATACTCGGAAAATATGGTCAGGGAAATCCATGAGCATGTGAAGACTTCAATTTAGTTTCACCAACTTGGCATCTTAATTATACATGTGGTGTCAACAACCTTCCACATAGACTGACTGCATCGTTAGTATAAATTTCAAAGGCCTCAGTTCTTAATACCTTAATATGAGCCAATTGTTGATAAATGGTTAAGCACAACATACCTATGACCTAAGAAAGGAGAGGAACATAGAGAAAAAACAGAAATAGATTACCAATGGCAACTTCGGAGGTTCATTGTCCCAGCCTTGGTATGATTCCTCATACTTGTGCACTTTCTCTTGTAGAAAATGAATATATTCAATAACCTGCAAACAATATTTAAATTTTTATCATACGTATCTCTATTGATAAAGAGAAGACTAAAAAAAAAAGTATAATTCAAGTACCTCCAGTAAGAAAGACGCTTTATCTCTTTTCTGATCACTATTAGGGATGATTCCCCTCAACATCTGAAATCTGAAAATTAAAAGAATATAAGATGTTTAACTAAATATCACTTTATATAGTCCAAAAGTCAATCAAAGTAGTTGTTGATAAACAAAGTTTTGAAGAGATGAAAACATAGAACTTTATAGGAATCTGTAACAGAACAGAACATTCAAGCAAACTCCTTTCTATGCAGAGAAAGCTGCTAGATATACTTCGAAGAGAAGAGAATAGAACAAAATAGGAAAACACACAAGTCCGTCTAGCATGCACCATGTCCTAGACATAATATTCTACTCCAATTAAGATAAGGATTCTATATCAAGAATATTTCTATATTTAAGCTATCAACTATGTCATATACATGCCTGTCATTGATCTTGCTTCTTCTCCGTTGCTCTGTTGCTGAATGTTTTGAACGTGGGGTGCTTGGCTTTTGATCGTTGCCTTTTCCATCAACCTTTACAGATAAACTACCTGTAAAGGAGCTATCTGAATGTTACAAACGACAACTGCATGTAGACAATGAGTGGAAACAATCAGACTTACACAAGACAAACCTCTAAGGTGCGACTGTGGTTCTTTCTTAATCACAAAATCTTCATCATCATCATCGTCATCTTGTGCACTCTTTGCTGATGTTATCATATGCAAGAAACTTTGGCTCTTAAGGGGCGATGATTGACTGCAATGTGATCATACAGTTAGTAAAGGCAAATAAATGTACTGTATCATGGGAGAGAAGGGGCATTCATATGATTGGGAGCAAAAGAGTCACTGACTGAGCAGATGAGAGCGAACTTAAGGCCGTAGTGTTGTGCTTATGATTTGAAGATGATTGTGACTGCCACTCTAATGATGTCGTTGGCTGAACACCTCCAGTGTTCACACCTCCTTCTGCCAAGCAAATAGAAAGTTTAATTGGAGTTGAAATATTCAGAGTTAACTATTCATAGGTAGCGCTAGATCATCAAACACAACCCATGAATATCACAGGTTGGCCACATTCTATCTATGTTCCCTGTAAGAAATCAAATTAACTAAGGCTTCTCTATAAGTATTTTATTTCAACTAGTTTCACGTATTTCTTGAAAGCTGAAGTATACAGTCATAATAAATCTCTTGGTAAGCAAGGGATACGGGAGTGGAAGAAAAGTCTCGTAGAAGAACATATTTTGCGGAAGGCTGAAAAATTGATAGTACGAATACAATAGTCATTTGTTATGTGAAGCATGTGCATGTCATGCAATATTAACTGTGACTCTGGGAATAATACATCATTGTCGACTTATAAACCAGCAGTCATATATAGTAAAGTACCATTTTATTTACTAACTTCGTAAGGAATGTGCCAAGTCAAAGTATGGAGGGAGGGAGTAAAAATTTACCTCTTAGGACGTGTCGATCACCCCCAGAATTCTCCTTCCCTGTCTTTCCCTTCTTGACTGCAGATTCATCCCACAGTGTGAAACCACTCCCTGTGAAAGAACTACAGTTTGAATTTTCATCATTTCTGTCGGTACTACTTGCTTGTGCTACAGAGAACAAGCTTGCCTCTGGTTTTGGTATCCTTTGGTGCAAATAAGAAATACTGAAGGTGCCTATGCCACCAGGAAGAATATGCTCCCCTGAAGGAGTAGCAGCTACTGGTGGCGGAGGCTTCTCCACAGTTGCTACTTCAACATTGGTTTCTTCTTCCCTTAATGTCTTCTCTGCTTGCTCCAGTGGTTGCAAGAAGTCATGAGTCTTCAGGTAGCCACCTGCTTTAGTATGCACAACAGCCATTGAGAAAGGACTAATTGAATACATGCAAGGAGGTAATTGAGGACATAATTAATTATCTGGCAAGAGTCTATCTGGCGGAATGGCTAGAATTTTCATTAGGGACTCAAAATATGAAGAAAAATAAACAAATGAACTAAGCTGAAATAGGTTCAATATTTACTATGTATACATAAAATGTAATTTTAACCACATTGCAATCTTCCACCGCTGGCTCCACCCCACAGTACTGATGTTTCACAAATATTTCTTTTCTCTGACCCTAACGTGTTACATACTTCAAACTTTCATCACAACATGACATACTTTGTGGAAGCTACAGTCCAGTATTTCATAAGTAAATTCTTTTAGCTACATTTTACTGTCTTTTTCAACTTAGCATGATGTCCAACCTACAAAGTCCAAAAGTATGAAAAAGAATCTAACACAGTAATAAGTTTGATTTATCTTTTAGTGCAATAAGATTGATGTGTAGGGAAAGAAGGGGACCATGTTACTGTACGAATTAAAAGGAAGTTAATAAACTCTTTTTGAGAGAAAATACTATTGCTTATTTTATACATAAATTGAATTTAAGTTTGAGAACCAATTAAATTCACTTCTAAATCTTTTGATAAATTTTCCAAAAATTGTTTAGTGATAGTACACCAACTTTTGGGTCCCAATCTCTGTCCACAGAGAATTGCCATATGCCCAAAAATGGTGTACGGAACCAAAATTAATCCAATGCCCAACCTTTATCCAGATTGAGTAATTTTGAGCCTATCTCAGCCTAAGTAGATGGCCCACTGGAAGAAGATGAGCCACATCCTCAAATGCATTCAAGAGTCACGGGTGCATTTATTTCGACACTCGTGGGTGCGACTGTTTTTTTCCCCTTCCATCCAAACAATACCTAAACATCACAACACATTTTTTTCTACTGTTTCCAGATCCCCATGAGTTCTTTTACTTAAAATAAAAACAAAAAACCCAGATTTCTTCTTTCTTCTTTGAAAAAAAAAGGAGAGGAGAGAGAAACCAACCCAAAAAATTGCATCTTACATGTGGAAGGTTTGTCCTTACAAAACCTTCTTGAACCCCCACCCACAAAAAAAAAATGAACATTAGAGGATCCCTAGATTAAAAATTATTTTAATATATGAAAAAGAATAAACTAGCATTTGATATAGATTTTCAGGGTAAATTCATTAAAAAAACACCTTTTAAGTATCTGTTTGGTTATGCATTTTAAAAATATAATGTCCAGATCTTTTGAAGTAAAATATTTTCAGGAAATGTTCAGATCTCCTAATCTGATTATACCTAATTATTATCGATAATTCAAAAAAATGATAAGTAACCAGCTAGTAAACACAATTTATATATTGATATAACTTAAATCAAATCTAATTGACTCTCAGGTTAAAGTGTATATTTAAATATTAAAATATTAAATAATTTCTCATTTAAGAATCTTTTTTTAAAAAAAAAAACATAGTAAAGGGCTGCATCTTCTCCAAAATCAATAACAACAACACATGCACCCCAAACACAACTTCCTCAAATTTAGATTATAAGAGGAAAAAAAAAACTCATAAGTAAAATAGAAAGAAAAAAGGAAAAGGAACTTTTAATTTATCTAGTTGAAATAATAAAAGAATTTATTTATTCTTTGATGAGAAAAAAAATATCCTGCATGCGTGAAAAATTTACCTTGGGGAGGTCTTGGATCTTGTTGAACAGGTGAATACAGTGAAAGAAAGTCATGAGTCGTCTTCCTCCCTGCAACAATCACGTACATCGGAAATCTAAATTCAGACCCAATTCTGAATTTTCTACTGCTATTTATTTTCTAATTTAGAAAAAAGTGAACCTGAAAAGTACTGTTACCTTCTGTTCCAAAAGGTCTGGGCTGAGGCAGCTCCATCCACACACTTGAATTGTGTATTCGCCAGATCAAGTAATTACACACAATTCAACCGAATTTCGCTGATTAAGTCGTTGCGTAAATCTGGAAAATTCTGTATCCAAATCTCTTTAAAGTGCAGATCCGCCTCCAACGAAAATTGGAGGCGCATTAACAACTGGCAAATCTTCTGTAAAACTAACTTCAAATTATTCGCCTCTAATGGCAATTCACTTCCTCCAATTGTTGTAAGTAAATTCAGCTTCAAAAATAAGTTCCGGTAAGAAACAGGTGGTCAATAAATCTGCTAATTCATCATAATTCAGCTGAAAATATACGTAAGAAAGGAGAAATCGAGAAGGAAGGAAAATACTTACTTTAGATGAGATTTAACGATGAATAATGCATAATTCAGATGAGAATTCTTCCGAAAGAAATGAAAAAAATAGCTCCCACAGTTCCCCAAACGTAAGAAGGAAGTGATCCAAACAGTGATTTTCGAAAGATATTGCTGGTAGGGCCTCGTCGTCTTGTCTAAACCGAATTCACTAATAATATGTATACAAATATTCTACCGTTTTCTCAATTGCTTCAATATGCATCAAACACCCAGGAAAAAGAAAAACAGAAAATGGGTCTCATAGAGCAGAGAAATCTCTCTCTACTTTTCTCTATGAAAGGCTTTAGTGAGAGGAGTTTTAACTTTTAAAGGCAGCCGTTTTCATTTTCGTTTTCGACGTGCCCAACTCCGTTTAATTTTAAACGCTGTTAATGTAACGTAACGTCGTTACGGCGGATTAACGGTTTTTGGGTCATTAGTTAACGATTTTTTAAGCAAGTGACCGTTTACTCGACTGTGTGTCGGATCAAGGTGTCACAGAATTTTAATTTTGATAATCTAGTAGATTGATTTTTTTATATTTTTGGCGATCCCGAGTAATAGTATTTATTTATTTAGCAACTAAATCTTTTAATAATAATAAATAATAAAAGAGATTAATATTAGGAAAAGTACTATTCCATGTTCCAGTTAAACAAATAGCGATTCATTAATCTGTCCCATTTTTCGAAAATAAAATGGCTCCTCCACATCACATCTTAAAGATTATTTATTGAGTAAATTCTACTTCTTATATTAATCAATTCAAAAAATAATAGTATTTATACACTGCGCTATAATTTTTTAAATTTATTATGTCTCAGACACGTAAATCTCTGACAAATTAATTTATTACTATGATTGTAATTTTTTGGTAACATTATTTATCTTTTGAAACTGAAACAAAAAACATGCAACTTGGACGATCTAGTCAGCATCTTTCTGTTACTTTTTTTAAAAAAATTAAGTTTAATTTTTATTTTAAATTCTTAATTACTCAACACCATTAATGAGTTAAATTTTAAAATCGAGAACTCTAATTAAAAAAACATATAAATAAATTAGAAGGTAAAAAAATGAGTGTATCCAGCTCACCAACAATAAGCACAAAAATGTTTCTTAAGTTTTCACTCCTTTAAACATGTTTAACATACTATCGAAAAGCTAAGTTTTTGAAAGAACTTGAGATGGACAAACTTAATTAATTAACTATATAGTCTTTTATTTTGGAAAATCGTAAAATTGAGTTGTCAACCAAAAATGCACTAATTTTTACAACAGAAGTAAAAACAGAGCAGTATCTATGTCACTCTGTGAACTTTAGTGGGGTAAGCAGTATTTAAGCTCTTCTTTTTCTGTTGGAAAAGCGAAAAAGATGGGGATTTTGGATTGATTTATAGATCTGAACACTGAAAGTGGTATGAAAAAAAATCACGTGAGTGACCTCTCTCATTAATTCACACAATTAAGAGTAGGGGGGACGTTGACCCTGTAAGAGATTAACTATTGTAATGAGTATGATTAGTGCACAGATCCCAAGTAAAGTAAACACTAATAAATCTACATTACTGTAATTTGATTTGATATTTATTTTGAAGGAGTGAATAGTGAGGAAGCAAAGTACAAAAAAAAAATCAAGAGGATGGGAGTGAGCAGAGGGATGTTGCTAAGGAAGGAGAAAAAGTCACGTGATTGGCAGCACTTACTCACTCACTCACTCAGTGCCCTTTCAGCTCTACCGGGGAACGCGGTGCTTCTCTCTTTATCTCTCTCTTCTAATTTTTAACATCCATGTGCTACCCAGATTCTCTCTCTCTTCCTCTCCGTACGGATCAAAAAAAATATGATTTATTCTCCTTTCGTTTAAAAAAAAAATGATAATAATTCTATTTTATATAAAAATTAATAAATTTTTTCAGTGAAATGATGTTGATTAACATTCTTTCATTAATGTCCATTTGTTCTTAGGTGCTTTGTTGTCTTTGCCTTTGAATTTGTCTAATCTCATCAATAATAATATTATGTAATTTTACAAGTAAAAAAGTGAATAAATAATATTTTCTCTAACTTATACGAGTGAGTTTTTGAATTGTAACATATTAAGAAAATAATTATTTAATGAATTAAAAATTTCTTTCTATTATTACTTTTTTAATTATTTTTAAACTAATTTACTAGAAAACGTAAATGTAGTACTTAATCACATTAAATATAAGGCAATAAAAGAAAATTAAAATATATATATATAACTTTAACTAATTTACTTATATTGATAAAACCAATTCACTTAATGAACCAGAAGAGTATTGACATATGCGTTATGACTCGCTGTGCCAATAACTACTGATAGTTTGTTCTTTTATTTTAATTCAAAATCTTTAATATATCTCGAAGAAATTAAAGTCTTTATTACAAATTTAATTTTCCGAATGTTATATTTCTTCAGAGAAAAGGTATATGCAGTAAAAAAAAAAGTTAAAAGAGTTAATATGCTCAGTAGTGTTCACTATATATATCTATTTTGTACTATACATGCATCACAAGTCAATTGGACTAATATAAACAAAATAAAAATATATATTTGATAATTACAAGAGTACATCAACTAGGCAACTAATCCATCACATCAAAATAAGTTGTTTGCTTGTAATTTTTAGATTAGGGATTCTGAAATATTTATTTAAGAAAAAATAATGATAGATAGTTCAAAAATGGTTGTTTAGTTCCGACAATCAAGGCAAAAGCATTCACATTAAGATTAAGGTGCACACCTACAACCGAACAGGTTGTCATTATCATACAACTAATTATATAAGTACTAACTAATCCAATTAATTTAAGCTGTATAAATAATGTCTCTTTTTGCATATTAATTAGTTAATTAATAATTATCCCTTTTCGAAAAAGTATAAGAACATGGCTCCTCTATTTTTAAACTAAAACTACCTTTAAGTAGCTTCCATGCCCTCACAGGTTGTATAGTAGCACTATATAAATTCTGTAATTTGGACGTATCTAAACATGAATTAGTTCATTTTTTATTAGATAATCCATTACATTAGTGTTTGTGTCTGGCTTCCACAATCCATTATGTCATTCATCATTTCATTTCTTTTATTTTTTCTATTGTATTATACTAACATATGTTCATCGATACTTAATTATATTCAATACACGTAGTAAATAATAATAATAAATATATTTATTATAAATCAAATCGTGGTAAAAAAGAATGTTACATTTTTATAAATAATTAATTTAATTTTAAAATTTTAATTATCTAAGCACCATTTATTTTTTAAAAAAAATAAATTTTATTATATCAATTCATAAAATGCCGCATAAATTAAAACAGAAGGAATATAATATTCTCATTTCGCGAAAGAAAACGCCCTTAGCTTTTGATATCTATAGCCTAGGGTAACATGCAGCATCGTTAGGTACTTAAAGTGCAATGTTGTATATATTAAAATTTTAAAAAAAAATCCTAAATTTATATAAGCCTATATCACAACAAATCATGTGATCTCAACAGTAACTTATGGGCTGGCATTAGGAATAGACCGTACCTTCTTATGTGCTTTCATCTCTTTTAGGTACATTCTTAACCTCTATTGTGCAACTCATTGTTCACTCCACTTCTTTTTATCGCTACGTAATATCATCGTGCACTTCAATTATTAATCAAATATTTTTATTCATATTACATCTAATCAACCGTCCATTTTATTATCTCAATATTAATTTTTTCTTCAGCATAGCGTGTTTTGATCATCTTTTCACCTATATACTGAAAGTTAGTCATTCATTGAAGATTTTACATTTTTATTCAGCTTTATTCCCCTTTAATTTCATTCATTGAAATAAAAGGATGGTACTATTAATTAGCAGGTAAGTGGGCAGTTGTGATGGACAAATATAAATACTATGTGGTCACGTATAAAAGTAAGGCATGTGAGTTAAACACTACAACTCACGTGCTCACGCACAATATATACGACAAAGCGGCTACTTGTTCTAAATTGTACTGCCACTCCCCCACTTCTACTGGTCGGAAGAATCGATAACAAAATTAGTTCGTGAAAATATAATCAACATTTAAATTAGCTTATAAAAATCTATGAATAATCAATCAGCGATTCATTCCGTAATGTATAGTAATATCCGAGTCTCATAACATTTTAAATCATTAAATGCGTGTAACAACATATATTTAACTATAGTACTTTCTAAGTATATTTTTAAAAATATAATATTTTTTCTATTCATTTTTACCTGTAAATGTTTGACTTGACACACTTATGAAAAAATTTATCAAATTATCTTAAATCTAAAGTCATTTCTTAATATATTTTTAAAAATAGGGAAAATCAACAAGTACTCCAACAATATATACCCGAAATTCTAGAGACATACTTATACTATACTAAGATCTAATTACTCATTGAACCTATTCTATAGGTAATTTTCTATTCCTTTTCGACCTACGTGGCACTAGCTTGAAAAAAAAGACAATCAGCATTGGACCCATATGATAGTACCACGTAGACCGAAAAAAAATAGAAAATTATTAATAAAACAAGTTCATGAGGGTAATAGGATCTTAGTATAGTATAAGTATGTCTTCGAAATTTCGGACATAAGTTGAGGGTATACTTATGCGTTATTCCTTTAAAATATAATATTTTTCCTGTTTATTTTTACTTATTATTGTTTTACTTGACCTATCCAATAAAAAACAATTATGTTATACGAAACAACAAGTAGTAAACTTAATTTAATTTAGCGTTAAAAAATTATCAAATAGAAAAGAAATTATTTTTAAAAAAATATTACAAGTATTTTAGGAAAGAAAGAGTGTATCAGCAATCTTATTACAAAACTCAGTCATGCACAGTAGAGTTACTTAATTATCTACCAACTGCTTGTCGATTTAAAACCAAGGATTAAGACTTTACTTAGTCAATGGAAATACAATAAGCTAAGCTAACGTGATTTAATTAAATTAATTATTAGAGCTGAAGATTACATTTATTTATTCATATTGTCTAACTAAAAAAAATAAAAAGTTTAGATTCCAATAGTACGCGAAGGCCACAAAGGTTCATGAACACAGCAACGTCAATTACTTTTTTTCCAAAAAATAAAAAAACGGAAATTCTTTATGTAGGTCTAGGTCCTATGAATAATATATGCTCAACTCCTTTTTAAGATAATTTTTTTTGTTTTTTTTTTAATAAATAAATTATTTAATATAGTAAAGAGATTCAATGATTAGTTTTATGATTTACTCTTTCAAAATGAATTGA